TGTTTTGTGTTGATACTCAGATTTATATGAACACAAAAGTCAGGAAGGACCAAAAAAAAGGTTGATCAATCTAAAGATTCCCTTTTATGTGCCATTTTGACATGTGTGCATGTTCTTGTTCTCTACTGAGTATATAGAGAGCTGAGAAAGTTCAGAGGACTTTCGTGAATTTCTCAACCCTCTACAACTTTCTGTAGTTCTAGTGGTAAGAATGCCACAACACTCAGTACCCCAAATCAGTCTTAATACTTTGTTTTTCAGGTTTTAGTTGGACATTTTGGGTATGCATTATCATCATTTCATCTTTATTAAAAATATGCACTTACAGTAGCACCAAAATAAGAATGCTATGGCTTTGTTAATGGCATCTCCTAGCTGAGCAGACTTTCAATTGAGAGTGTTGAAGGGTTCACATTTCAAAATACAGCTCTGACCCTCCCACTCCCACAAACCACCTGGGAGCCGGTCAGAGCACCAAGCTGTTGTTTGCAATTATTGCTTTTCTGCTTCATTTGATGAAGCATGCTTACAAGCAGACCCTCACAGAGTTCTTCTGTGAAGGGGATCCACCTACCAGCATCATGCTGATTTCATCTTTCCCCATGCTGCACACAGCCTTTCAGCTGTGCAAAACAAACTTGGGGGAAGATGAGGGGAAGAAAAGCATTAACTACATTGCTCCTCTGTATTTTGCTTTGAGGAAATTCTCAGCCCCATGTTGTTTAAAATGAGTCTAGCTTTAAACAGGGCACGTGGGGGGTGTGGGGGTGGGTTTTTTTGCTGACACTGCAAACTGATACTCTGAGTGAATTGTTTAAGGAAAGCAGAGAAGCAGAGAGTCCTTTATTATGTCCATCACTGCCAAGTGATTTGGCAGATTCCTTCATGAAATGCACTGTGTGATAGGTTGAGAGAGAGCTCGACTGGCCAGTTACCAGCAGAAAAGCTCAACTTAAACACTTTTAAAATCTTATTATGGTCAATTTGTGGTTTTGGCTGAAGAAAGAAAGAGGATGAAAAAAGAGGCAGCTGGGTGTCAGTGAGGGATGGAATATTGAGGTAACTTTCATTACTGTGCCACAAAAAAATCCACTGGCTTTGTATGTTTGTTGGATCCAGCTAAGGCAAACACACCCACTGGCTAGGTACACCTGCAAAGGTTATTTCGTTTGTCTCATCATTTGTCCAATGTCAAAACAGCATGAAGAATCTGTTGCCTATGCCTCGATCTCGATATTGCGACATACTTAAGCAATGGCTAATTTTCATTGTAGAAAAATCTGTTCAGTTTTGATCCTTCCCAAAGGCCTACCTGTCCTGGATGAGGTAAATCCTTGAAATGTCTGAGCAAAGACATACACAAGTTTTTGCAGACATGGATGGAAACCAGACCAAAGACTAACTGGGTGTACCTGCAATGGGACAGTATATGTTGACATGGTAACAACAAAATATTGTGCCATTATTAATAGGGGCATAACTCTGCCAGGTTAACTCTGGACATAAATAAATCCCTCCCTATCTGCAGGAGTAAGAAGAGATAATGCCCAATACAGGAATTGCAAGATCTAAACATCAAACCAAGGCCTATTATTAACCACCATTCAGATGGAGCTGGGGTGGGGAGGGAATAGGAGGCTAATGGTTTAAACAAGGTAAATTCCACATTCTGTAAAAGAAGGGTCTTTAAGTTAATACCAAATGAGAAAATGTGTATTCTTGCTCCTTTTTGGCTCTTAGTGAAGAGACACCTCTGGTGAAAACAGCTCTTGCCCTCCAGCTGCACGAGAGCTAAGATACCTCTGGTGCAGAGTGACTGGGTGCTCGAGCACCCTGAGGGCAGGGCTGGCTGCTTCTGCGCCAAGGAGCAAGCTGTTTCTTGGAAATGTTTATGCAATTCAGCTGTGCTGCTGCTGGAGCCAGACACTTTAAATAATATTAAAAAAAAAAAAAAGAAAACACCCAGCCTCAGATCTCTCAGGCCGTTAGTGTATCTCAGTCAGGTTTTGCCTTCCACCAAATACTGTCAAATATCTGTTTTGTTTGGATTTGAAGGGTGGAGGGAGTTGGAGGGTTGCCTTTGCTGCTGTCAGTGCTTCCTAATGATGTTTCTCACTAGAGAAAATGAGCTTGCTTGTTTGAGAATCTGAATTCCCTGTGGGGCACAGTTAGGGAAACTGAAGATATGGGCAGGAAAATAATATCTTTTAGGGCAACATATAAACATCCATAAAGCAGAATAGCAAAACACCTACAGAGAATGCTGTAGCTTTGCCAGCAAGCTAATTAAAGTCACTGACTAAGAAGGGAGCTGTGACAGTTGAAAAGTTAAAATAAAAATAAATCAGAAGTTTAGTCTAGCAATTATAACAGGAAATTACCGACAGAGTCAGGGTTCCTACATTCTTTTCCTGGTTCTGTTTCCGATTTGCTGAGAAAGTTAGATAAGCCAGATTTTAAAAGTAGCTTCTAATTTGGAAAGCCTCCATTTCTGATGCCCAGCTGTACACACAAGCTAGCATCTTCAGTGCCCCCCTGTGCATTTGTGAGGGCAGAGCATTTCAGGGCATTGGTGTCTCTGAAGTCAACTACCAGGACCTGGAGAAAGCCCCAGTTACCAGCCTGCCCAAAGCAGCCATCCCTGAAAGCTTCCCGTCTGTGAACTGTGGCTGGCGCAGCATATTGCAGTGGGAGTCTGAAGTTTAAATACTCTTTATGGCTGACATAACATATCGCAGTGGGAGTGTTATGTTTAAATACTCTTTGTAAACATTTACAAGACTTCTAAGACACACTCTGTCTCCAAAGTCAATGCTATTACTTTTGGAAATAATGAACTCTGTGACCTGCACGTTTTCTGAAAGGACTGCTGCTTGGTAGAGGCAATGAAGCTGCATTCCCAGGTCTGACTGCAGGAGGAGTTAAAGTAGAGTGTGAGTTAGAGAATCAGGAATAGCTTGCTTCTGTTCAATAACATAGCCCCAATTGAAACTGCAAATAAAGAAATCTGTGATGCCTCAGGAGGAGGGGGAAGGTCTCTCAATCATGAGAGCTCTCTTTATACAGGGTTCCTATTCAATTCCATGAGAATTTCTAAATGAAGAGAGCATGTGGTTCCTTCTTACACTGACTTGTGCTACGAGCTCTTCAGAGGCAGAACCAAATAAAGTGTCCAGAATAAGGATGTCTCCATAAATTGACATTTTCCTGCCCTACATTCAATTGCAATCTGTCATCCTTATCAAGGGACACCATGGATCAGAGGGTTACACTCTGGGTGCCTGCCAGCACTCAGTTGTGAAAGTCAGAATGTTTCTCATTAAAGCAATGAACCTTTTTTTTCTCTCTTCTGTGCAATACTACTGCAAATACGTGTGTCCTGGTGTCAGCTTCATCTTTGCAATGAGCCAGAATATTTACAGTGGCTTGTCAGACTGAGTGTCATGAAGCAAATTATTAAAGATGTTTGCCTGTTTGTAACTGAGGTCACTACCAATCTGATATTTTAAAGAATATTGTTGCACTGAGGAATAAGCATTAACAAAACCCAGAGAATGTTGTTTACTGACATTACAGGGGGAAAAAAAAAAAAAAAAAGGCCAGAGTAGGTTTGGGGTCCCCTGCTCTTCCACCCACTGCATGCGGGGGAGAGCGCACTCCACGTTCCTTTGCCTCCTGCTCCCACGTGCAACCCTGGAGGTTACACAGCGTACACCATCTCCATCAGCCACGGGAGCTGAGTCTCAGAGCCTCTGCCAACCACCTGCTTTTGCAGCCCATGTTTTCACATCGAAAGCAATTTGGACCTACACACTGAGAAATTGTACAAGCTCCCAAAACAAAAACAAATGCCTTCCCAGCATGATGGGTCATTTAACCTTCACAAACTTTATCCGGAACCTTAAAGAAAAGCTGCTTTGGCGTGACATAAAACTAAGCGACAAAGAATCCTTTGATAGGTGATCATACTACTCTGCCACTACACAGGCAAAACAATCTCCCATTGGGCAACAAGAAACTAAACATAGTGAATACATGGACAGTATTTCAACACCTGCTAGAGACTCTGGGAAAATGGCTTTCTTTTCTTAGGACAGCTGTATGCAATATTCGTCTTCACAGTAACATATTAATTTAGCAGGTACCTTGCTATATTTTGTTAAGTGCAACACACAGTTTTAGTGAGTGAATGTATTTACAAAAAGTCAAGCTGGTATTTGCATAACGTAATTGTCATCTCTACTAGCTTCCCTAGATAAAAAGGGTTTCTTCAAGGGGCATTTAACATTTGGACATCACAACAGCCCATTTGAGAATCCCTTCATGTTTCCTTCAAAAAGTAGAAATCAGTGAAACTGTTTCCCAAGAGCAAGAAACCAGACAAATTTAATAAAAGTTAGTGTTTTCACTAATCAAAATGTCTTTCCTTCATACTCAGTCCCAGTTTGTGCACTCCCATATGATAATCCACATATTAATGAATTGCCAATATTTAACTCTTTACAGGCTGTGCAAAGATAGATTATTAAGAATCTTCTTAATGGTACGTTTCAGTGGCAAATATACTAGATTTCTTAACTAGAATTTCTATTTAAGAAGTAGTCCTTTAGTAGTGAGCAGTAGCTGATAATATATAATCCTCCAGATTATATATGTATTACTGGCAATATGTATGCAATAGAGATGATCTTATCATAATGAAGCCAATATTAAAATGGAAATGGAAAAAGTGCACAGGCATATTTCTAAACACTATGTTCAATGCCACTAACAAGTATTATAAGTCCTCTTGAACTTTTGAATACTTCTACCAGAAACAACTCTCAGAACTGTTAAACTCCAGCTGCAACATATGAACTCTTTATTAAGGAGATACAAACTTCCTGTCTGCCTCCAGTACCTTTTGCCCAAAGTTTCCTAATTAAAAAACCCTTTACTTTTCGACTACCTACCCCTCACCCACTTTTGGTCATTCATTGCTACTTCCCTTTGTTTTGTAGGCTCGTCCAAAAGGAGAAGGCCTGACACCATACCAGGGCAAGAAACGCTGCTTTGGTGAATATAAGTGCCCCAAATGCAAGAGAAAATGGATGAGTGGAAACTCCTGGGCTAACATGGGACAAGAATGTATCAAGTGCCACATTAATGTTTATCCTCACAAACAGGTAGGAGAAGTGCAGACCTGCTGGCAGCAGGCTTGGAACTAGGAATGCTCTTGACTTTGTAAAGTGTGGGTAAGGCTTAAATAGAACTTGTCGTGGACTACAGCGTACCACAAAAAATGGTTTCCCAGATGAGCTGCTTGTCTCAGTCCTGGAAACCTAGAGAGGTGTCAGAGTTGCAATTTGAACATTCTTTCAGTAAAAATAACGCAAACCCAAAATCTTTACCTGCCTTTTTATAGAAACAGACTGTGAGACCTTTTAATCTGAGATAAACAAGTTCAGCAGTAGTAACAGGCCTCCTAGTTCTTCCAATTCTCTTCGTATTTACACAAATTTATTGTTTCATTGCACTGGTGTCAGCAGTTATTTCCTATGTGTACTACTTTTTTTCACCTGTTGGATTTCATCAAGGGGCTATGTCTACTTACAAAGAGCAGTGATAAAAGGGAATACAAAGATGACTCCTGCCTACAAAATTCCTTGGTTAATAACACTAACTTAACATGAGACAAGCTCAAAGCTTCCAAAGTCTCATATTCCTTGCCTCAGTTTAGACGGCTGATCTAAAAATCCAAAATCCAGGCTGAGCAATGAAGTTATTTATCACATGCTTGAAACTACAGTCTTGAGAGTGAGAGAAATTACAATTCAAATTACATTGATTTATAACACAAGTTTATAAATATTTACGTTGTTCTTCTAAATTCTTTCCATCATTTACGTTAATGTTCAAAGAGTCAAGAAATCATTCAAGAGGTATCTAATGGACACTGTACAAGAGGCATTATAGACTTGGATATGTACATTCTGTAATAAAGAAGTTTTGCAAGCCATCCGTTGTCCAGAGTTGCCCCTCATGGCAACTTATCTGCTCAGTATTAACTAAAGCCAGGGACATGCTGTTGGAAGGGCTGCAGTCTACAGTGCTTCCATAGGCTGCACTTGCTATGGAGACACATATATGGTATTTTCTGGGGAATAATCACAGCTTGTGCAGTGCAGGTTTCCACAGCTGACCCCCATCACTATGTTTCCATGCCATTCCCTAAGGACACCATAAATCAAGGATATTGAAGAGCTTTGCTCTTCTTGTCTATCCATGTGTTCATGTCCCACCAGTAGGTATTGCAGTTGAGATCTTCAAGACAAGACTGTATTTCTGCTAGGCTTCCTCATATAAATAGTGCTCTTCCCTAAAATGTGAAATTAGAACCTCAAGCTGAAGGATTTTTACATCCTGGTGACACTGTCTCACCTCCATCTGCTTCTATTCCTCAGTGTTACCATTATCATCCTTCCTAGACTTTTCCATTCTTTTAGAAGTGCTCTGTGTTGCTTCTGATTAAACATAACAGCATTAGCCTGGCAGTAAAGAGAACAGCATCAGTCCATGCACAGAGCCAGCAGGAGAGGAGAGCCAACAGGCTGCAGGAGGTCTGTGCTGCTTCTTGACAGAGCCTCCTGTTTGCCAGCCCATATATGGTTTTTGTCCAAGCATCCAGTTCCACGCCGGGCTCTCTAAACATTTATCAACATTTGTGTGTGTTATTCTGCACCATTCTGGAAAATGTGCTCTACCCAGTCACTTATGCCCCTCTTATACTAACAACTGTATTTTGTAAAAGTACAGTGAAAGATGTAATTAAAAGTCCAGTATTTCTAGTTTGAGAGTTATAGCACAAAAAAATGTTGTTGTGCACATAGGATGACTTTAATAATTTTTTTAAACAGCACTGCTACACCACCTTCACATTTTCTGCATATATTTCCTATTTATTCTTTAGATTTTGATTATTTTGTTGGTACCTACCATAGCAGAGTCATCATTCATGTTTGAGTTCCTATGCACTTCTAAAAGTTTTTAGACATCACTTCCCTCTCAGTAGGTGTCCTCAGCTAATTAAATGCTTCTTCTGCTTTTATTATATGGGATCAGATAATTTTCACTCTCATCTGAATCTTCCATTGGACACCTAAACGAAACTCACTAAGACAAGATATTGCCTCTCCCTAGACACAATGCTTCTTTTGTGCCATTTTCACTCCATCAAAAAAAGAAAAAAAAAATCAGTGTTGCAGTGAAAGAATAGATACTTCAAAACAGAAGTCACTGCACTATGTGATGCGATCATACTACAAATAATCCATAAATGGATTGCTTTCTTTGGTTTAACAAAACCCAGATGAACTGGAGAAGTCTGACCTCCATTCAAGATCAGACAATATTTACTTCTAGTGAAATAAATGATGTCTACTTTCAAACAATTTTGTCAATATTTCTCTTCACCAATGTGTTGGAATTCATCATCTCCTTTTTTCACTCCTTGCCCTACCATTTGGTAAACATGTAATTGTAACCTAACAGAAAAAGAGTATCTGGAATATTATTTTAAAAAATAATGGTCATTTTATCAGCAGGTAAAAATCACTGCTGGTTCCTTAAAATTGACCTCTCCTTTTGTCAAGTTACAAAAGCTTCCAAAACTATAAAAACTGTGAATATCTCAGCCCATATCTAAAACAGCTGGGGGCCACATTTCCCTAGTGAGGGCATGTTATAGAAAGTCTCCAATCACCATAGTAGATACAGCATAAAAACCTCATACCAGGTCAAGCCAACCTCCCCTGTTCCATACATGAGCCTAAGCAGTAGAGGACACTTTTACAGGGAGGTGTGGATATAGGCAAGACACAAAAACCATCTCCAAGGGTACTTTCCCATCCTCTTATATGGCCAAGTGAGTATTTCTGCATTCTCTGAGTTTGTCACCAAGCAGATCAACCTTTGTAGAGCCTATTCAATAGCTGAAATCTAACCACATGGGCCACCAAGCCTTGCTATGTCACCCTGAATATTGGAGAGCAGGATGCTTGTGCCCAGTTCAGGATTTAAAAAATTGAAATCCTTATTTTAGGATTGCTCATTATACATTGCAGTGAATTAGGAGTTTGTTCTCAATTGACAGGTCGGCCCTTTTCTCTCATCCTCAAAGCAGTTGCTTTCCCAAATCTGTGGACTTCTCACTACTGTAGGGTTTGTCCACATCTCACAAGGGAATGGTTTTGTGCCCAAGTACTCCCATGTAACTGGCTCAGGCAATGGATATCAAAGCACTGAAGATAATAATCTCCACTCTGGGTAGCTCTGGAGTAGCCATTCTAGCACATATGCCGCTCTGTGAATGGCTTGTGCGGCTATGCTCAAATCTTGATTTCCTATGCTTGCCTTTCATTAGGGGGTCCCTGGAGAAGAGATCAGCCACACTTCCCTGTCACCTGTTCTTTGTTCCTGGAGGCTCATTTCACTTCAGGAAATTATCCTGTGCCAATTCCCCACAAGCAATGTCTCAGCTCAGCCCTATGCTCTTAGTCCACATAGCCTATATCTGTGAGAACGAGCTTTTAATCTCTCTGGGGCAGGAAAAGTCTTCTCAGCAATTTCACAGCTGTGTATATACTTCAGAGTGCTCTACAAATACAGCTCTAAATCTCAGCATTTAAGAGAGATGGTGGAGTATGTATTACAAGAAGTAACACACGGGCCTGATAGCAGGGCTGCTGCTGTTCATTCCCCAGCTCATCCACAGAGCAGGGAGTTGGGTGGCTCTCACACCTGAGCTGCAAAACTGCTCCTCATCCCAATCAAGCTTGGAATGCATTTTTGTTTTCATGACTAGATTGTTCCACTTTGTTCCTCAAGAGGCCAAGCTTCCCATCGGAGTGCTTACAGAAATGCACAGGACATGGGGCAAAAACTGTAAGCCTGTTGAGCTCAAGCCTTACCAAGGACCAAAAAGCTACCCTGACAAAGCTGCTCTATGGCAGTTTCTAAAGTAGTTTCCCAGGTAGTTACTTTAGCTACTCTAAACATAAATAGGCATCTCAGATGGGACTTGAACCCATCTCTTATTTTTCCAAGGAATTTGGATTTTGTGGTTGTTTATGTTCCTTCTTACCCTGCTCCAGCAACTAAGCCAATTCTTGTAGTCATTCTCCAGCGTTCTTGGCACTGGAACAGCCCAGATGCCAAGCTCTGAATTCTCATTTTCTTCCCCTGCCTACTATAGCAGCAACATCTGCGCCTGTGGTTACTTCCTGGCTGGCCTCTTATCAAGGCTTCTTCTCCGACTTTGTGGCTGACTCCAGTGCTGTTTGTGATGACAGCTGTTGCACTGGTGCAGAACCAGCCATCTGGTGACCGACTTGTCCTCTTGGACACTATTTTCTTCCAGCTGTCAGGAATTTACTGTTGGCCTGGAAATAATTTGGTATGTAAATACATACTTCATGATATCAAAGTTATTACTTCCATGGGCAATTCAGTGGTCCCATCACAATTTCCTTATCTGAGTGCAACCACAGCCACCTCTCTTCCCTCAGTATGGGGAGGGGGTGGGTATAATCACTCAAGCCCAATAAACTTTTCAACAGTTTCAGGCCCACAAGTGTGCTCTTTTGGCCCTTTACATTTAGTAAACCTTCCACAGCATGCCCATACTTGTGTACTCCACCAATGGCAATGCAGTTCAACCCAGACTGCTGCTTTTCTGAACTCTAAAGAGATTTTCACCATTTACCTCATGCTGTTATCAGTCATTCCTAGCTGGCCAGTCCTAGAGGCATGCTGCTGACAGAGGCTGCTTACTCTCCCTGAGCATCGTGCCTCTGGTCTGCAGCCTCCTTACCACTGCCTCCCAGATCCACAGTGACAGCCAAGAGCCTTGTTAATGTCCCTCTTCCCCCAGGCAGATAGAAAAACAGGGCCTGTTGCTCAAGAATGCATGTTGCATTTAATCTTTTTTCCCCAGTGCATAATTTTTTTTTCCCCAGTGCATAATTTTTTTTATTGGAAAATTTACAAATTTATGATAGCATGTCTTTTCTAGCTATGGCTCCTTAAGACTGTTGACCTAATAATTATCATGCAAGTTATAGGTGTAGAATCTTTCTAGTCACATCTCTAATCTGACATTTAATCATCTCATTTGCTCTGTTAAGACTTGATGTGAGTAAGTCCAGAAAATTAATTTTAGGTGTTTTCTCTCAGTGGGATTCTAATGTGATCCTTTATCCATCAGTGGGTACAATCAAGCTAATCCATTCTACGGCAGAAAAAAAAATCAATCTTTAAATACAAACATAAATAGGCACATTATTCCATTCTACTTCATAGTGGAAGCAGTTTTCCTCAAGATATCCTGGTGATGTTTTCTCTGATACCTAACACTTCGTAAAGGTGAACTTTTTGTTTTGAGGGGTTTAGACTTTAACTGACTTTTGGGAAATGCAGAGTTCATTCAGTACATGTAGAGCGGGACAGCAATAATTCACAATCAAAAGTTAATTTGCAGGTCAGGAATTGCTATATAAATTTAAATTTATTTCAACTTCATTCCCCTGAGGCAAAGCTTTATTCACCACCACCAAATGCTTTCCTGGTGGAGCTGCACAAGATTATTTCCACCCTGCAACTACTAGGAGAAAATTAAAGAAAGATGCACAAAAGTGAAAAATGTAAGAGTGCCATTGTGGATGCTTGCATTTCAAGAAAAAAAAAATAGAAAGGACAACAAAAATTGAACTATTAAACTCTCCTTTTAACAGAAAAAAGGCATACCTTCCCCTAGAGGAATATAGCAGGATTTACTGTGGTTTTACAAGCTCCATTTCACCTCTTTCTAAGGAGAGGAATTAACTTTTCAGCCAAAATAGCCTGTTCCCTTCTCCACACCCTCTCCAAATGCATGGCTGAGTTCTCAGCAGCAGCACAGAGCTCATGCAGCCTCCTCAGTCACTGGTGTAATTCAGGCAATCCCCAAAGCTAATATCAGAGCATGCTGCAGCCCAACCCTGCTGCACCCCTCTTGTGCCAGCATCCTCTGCTCCCACCACACAGAGCTGACAATTGTCCAAGCCTGTGCCAAGGAAGTTCAGCCTTGATGGACTCACAGCTCTTTGACTAATGCCCTACACTTTTAGCAGGGTGTAAGAAAGGCTCCAGGGGTGTAAGATTATTACTTTTAAGTTCTTCACAATTAGTAACAGACAGATAGCAGCAGGACAAGAACACTCGCTGCTCAGGGTGATTGAAGGGTTCTTTTTTGCCTCACAAGAAACCCATAAAGAGAAAATGGCAAATGGAGATAAGCTGGGACTTTACGCAGAAGTTGGATTGAAGTGTTTTGGAGGCACAAACCATGCAAGCACAGTCAGTTTCGAAGCCTCACCAGAAATGTAGTCTGGGCTCTGCACGGCTCTGTTCCTTCCAGCTGGCCCTTGGCAACCTGCTTTCCTGCCTTTGTAACCCCTCTCTCCCCAGCCTCTGTGTCGTAACACACTGGTAACAATAACATTTCTGAAATCAAAATGTTTTGCAGGCCAAAAAGCTGAGCTCAATCAACGCGGGGGGAAAGCAAACCACGGAGAGCTATTGTTTCTGAAAACCATCCAAAAACTCTTGGCGCTTCAAGGCATTCCCAATGTCCTTTGCACTATTTCCAGGAAAAATGATTCCCAAGGCCTTGCATATTAAAAAAAAAAAATATCTGGCTTATATCAATAAACATGATAACTGCTGTATTTTTTCTCTTTAATCAGAGCACAGCTAGCATGTAGAAGCAATCAGAGCTGAGTCAAATAGCCTGTTTTAAGTGTAGCATTTCAAAACTCTCATTCTCTGTTGAGGAGTGTAAATTAACTCCTGGAACTCCTGAACCTGGGCTTTGACTACATTTATGTCATGCAAATTCTTGAAGAAAATTTGTGGGCTGATGTTGGTGGAATAAGTGGTAAATAAGGCAAAAATGCAGTTTTCCTGACCAAATAAACTTATTTAACTTGCTGTGTTGTGGCAAAAGCAGTACCTGCACCAGTGCTTGGTCTGCAAGCCTAGAAACAGGCGTGCTGGTTCTGATCTCAAATCCCACCATGCTGACATCCAGCCAGTCATTCAAAACTCAGTGGGGTTGCAGGAGGAGGTTAAAGGATTTGCTTGAGATAAGAAGTCCACCTACGTTCCTGACACAGGAAATCCAATTTGCAATTCGAATGTAAATGAAGTTAGACTCCACACATGTGGTCCAGAATAGCATCATAGTTTAAAACATTGAGTCAGAAACAAACTATTGGCAATCACCACAGAATCACTGCTACACAGTGCTTTTACTATAGTGTTATTGCACAACACTAGCTATGCCATATAATAAGTGTTGCACTTGTAATCCAATACAATCAAGCAGACATGCTTTGTTCAGGATAATACAATACATTTAGTCTCATTTTAGCTATTCAGAGAGCTGAGAAACCGTTCTACTCATTAGGTTATAGCTGTGTTATTGCAGTGTTACACAGAAAAAAAAAAAAAAAAAAAAAGCTTTAAATGTGCCTGTTCCTATCCACAGTGTCCCAGGTAGGTGGCTTGATGAAGAACTTAAAAATGAAATCTTAGATGATCAGGTGCAATTAAAGGAAACAGGAAAAAAAGGAAAAGGAAATAAAGGAAAGTCTTTAGGATTAGCAAACATGTTAAGAGATAAGTGGCCCAAATTGTTTAAGTTATATTTACCCACTGCTTGCTCCAAGAATCCTATTCTGAAGATATAAGCAAGAGTAGTATCCCTGTAAAAACAGTGAGAAGCTTATGGCTAGTTTTCAGATTTCACACCACATGCTATCTCTACCACAGTCTCATAGAACAGCCACTTCATGGGAAGGCACTGTGTGATGAAACAGTCTTTTGGGTACATTTCATGAAAGCAGATGAATTATGTGTTAGGGAATTTTGTTGTGGGAGTTTTTTTCCAAGCAACTGGTGCACTTTATGAAATTCTATCTCACATCTCTGTTACCTCTCTACCTATTAGACTTTCCAACCATTTAACTTTATTGCAATATTCAACATGGGTATTTTATTTTCAGAAGGACTGTGAAGCCTTTCACATGCCATGGAAAATGAAAGAACAAAGATCTACTAACAACAAAACAGTTTAATTTACTCCAACCATGTGATTTCACAAATATCATTAAAAATACATAATCAATCTATTAGGGTCAGGGCAAAGGATTGTGTCACAAGGTTGGATTTTGTTTTGAGTTTGGGGTTTTTTTATTAATAGCTTTGCAGCTGCTCTACATCAAAATTTTGGCCTCAAAAACACATGACCAAGTATTGGGAAAGCCCCATTTAGCTGTGAAGTATCTGTGCATGGATAAGACAGGTTTCTTCATGTAGCAGCTAATCCCAACATTGGCATTCCTGCTGGCATTGCTAGGTAATGGGATTCCCATGCTTAAGATGTTAAAACCTTTGGGACATCTCAGTTACCGGAGCTAAAAGAATCAACTCTCTTCTGTTACTGCTTCTATAAATTAAATCCCCAATTCAGTATTTTCATAATTTGTCTACAACAAACTTAACACCACCTTTATGAAGAATGACATTAAGTTGTGAGGCCACTCTGAACCAATGTAGAGCTGAAGGGCTGAAAAAACACTCCATCCCTTCAGGAAAGAAATATGGTACCTTTGTAATGACTAGGAGAAAGCTCAGTTAAGCGTAAAAAGTAGATTTCACATACATAATAAAGAGTAACAGTGACAAAACCTTGGATCTAATTTCATTTCCCTCCCTCCACTGCAGAGACCCCTGGAAAAGCCAGACGGGCTGGATGTTTCAGATCAGAGCAAAGAGCATCCTCAGCATCTGTGTGAGAAGTGCAAAGTTTTGGGCTACTACTGCCGCCGTGTGCAATAAACCTTCGAAGTGGCCTCCTCCCATCCCCATCATCCTTAAAGATTCTCTGGCAGCATGCGATCCACAGCAACACAACAAATCAAGATGAAAGCTAAAATAATTGCCAATATTGCCTATCTAATAATATGCCTTACTATTAATAGAATGTAACATTTCTCCTGTGCGTGTGCACACATGCAACAGGTATTTACAGGACTATGATTTGTATACATATATATGTAAATGGATATATATATGTACACACACATATATAAAATGTTATTGATGGTGTTCACGACAGAACTATGGTTACAGGTTCTGCTGATTGTTTACACAGACCCTCTATTACAGCCAGGTGAAATGAAGTACTATTCAAGAGGCAAGGTATAATATTCACAAGGACTTTATGTTTTATGTATGGCTTTTGCAGAGGTTCAGTAACTGTGGGGCCACTGATTCCAAGCACTCACCCACAACATGAACGTTGTTCTTATTATGTGACAAGACAAAGGAAGATGAAACAAGCCACAGCATAAAAGGAGAATTATTGTTTTCCCAGTTTTAGAAAGTCTTAGAATTTTGTGCTGCTGATTTCTTGGACTTTTTCTAGTTGTTACCATCTCTTGGGCAAGGCTTAGGCAAAATAATTTTTGCAGAATATGGCAAGAAAAGTGAATAATTGTTTGAGGGTGTGAGTTTGGTAGAAAGGGAATACCATAATGGGACCCAGAGCATTAGGAAGGATTCCAAGTGGTTTTTGGAGGAGAAAAAATTGGCTTGCTTGTGCAACAGATCCTTCTCTTGTCATATAATCCCACTGAAATGGTCCCTATACGTGCATGGTTTGTTCATTAGGCCACAAACACACTAAATTTTCTATGAACAAGGGGATAAGAATACTTAAAATGTCTAAAACCCTTAATTGAAAGATTAGCCAAACTTACTATTTATAGTTGTTTTAAAGCCACTTTCTGGAAATATTTTTGTCCTGTTTACTACCATAGACATTTGTTATTATATGAAACTTGTTAGCCATAGGGGTGTTTTGAGGCATGGAGAAAACTCTGTATAACCCTCCTTTTTTCTGTCTTCCTGAAGCACCTGCACAGCTGAGGAGAAACGTAGGAGTTATATTTTGTTGTCCCATTTTGGGTAGAACTTTGTGCAGGGGTATCCTGCTGCAAAGAAGCATCTCATCAGGGATTGGCAAACATGAACTGAAAGTACCTCTTTGTACAGGGGGTATCCTCTTTGTATATCTGCATGAGAGTACATTGGCAAAAGGACACAGCAAGCAATTCACTTGTAGCATTCAGTAAAAAATTACAGGGATAATGTTTGTTTGAGATTGGGGGTTCTTTTACATCAACAGTTTCTATTTCTATGAAGTTTTCCTGAGACTGATTTGTGTGAATGATGCTTAGAGAAAATACTTTAAATCCTAAATAACTTGATGTGAACTAAATTTGTTCTGAGGACTAATTCTGTATTGCAAAGGCAGAGGGGGGTTTATGCCAAGTGATAGCAGGATGTTACCAGTATGTCCAGTCAAGCTCTTCTAAAGCAGGTTGAAAACTTATTGCAAGCATTCATATAGGAAATGGGAAGCTCTTTACAAATTTGCTCTAGGGTAAAACTCTGGCCATTTCCCTGCGTTGCTGTAAGCAGGGCAGAATTGCATCCACTTATTGTGGTGGGAGCGGCACATACACATCTTGCAAATTCATAATTCATGGGTAGGCCAGGCAACCCAGCCCACTGCTCATAACATGGAGCAATGGATAAGCATTCTGAATCCTGGCTTCTGACCACAGCTCTTCCATTAGCTCCCTGATTTTGGGCAAGTCACAAGATCGTTCCAGACCTCAGTTTCCCCAACTGCAAAATGGGGATAATAATACTTTAGTATACCTACCTCACAGGAGAGTTGTGAGGTTTACTTAACATCTCTAAGTATTTTGGCATCACTGGATGCAAAGTGCTACGTAATGTTAAAACAGTATTAACTGAATTAATTACTTGGAAACTACTTTTGCCCAGTTGGCAATTCCATCAACTAAAATAGCTGCAAATAATATTATTGAAAGTAACACTAATAAACAGTTCAGTTGCCTCAGTGAAGACATGCAGGTTTAGCATTTTCAAATGCAAATGCATTCTTTTGCACAGAGTCACAAATTACCTTAGAGACAAATTCTCTCAACAAAGATACTAATCTGTCTATACAAATAAGAATAAGAAAATACACAAGCAAATCTAGGGGTGGATTTTCTAAGCTTGACCTCTAGGATTAATCTCAATAGTTTATTTCAAGCATGAGTAATTCTGAAAGAGCAGCATTCTAAACCAGATCTATTTTTTTCCTCTTGAGCACTTAATACTACATGAATCAAAAAAAAAAAAACCAAAAAACCATCTTGATGATTCACATCCAGCTAAAGGACGTGTAGAGAAACCCCCTTAGATGAACATAAGGGAAAATGTTATTTCCTTTTTCTCCTTGAAACTAGGATGTTGCTACCAAATGTTTTGTTCTGTATTGAAATAGCCTCCATGTTATGATAACCACTAGATCAGTAAAATAGCACAACCCTTGGTATAGTGGTATCGATGTATCGCACACCACCAGGTTTGACAAAAAGCTGACTAAAAGATACCATTATAAGCAAGTGTTGGTATTTTCGTTACAGTGCCCTGTTAAAAATTTTTTATCCAGATTCAACACTGCAAGGCAATGCCTTTATTTAGCTTATGGATTTTTAGACTGTACTAAAAATACACATGATCTGCTTTAACACAATTAATGTCTATAGGTGTAGCATAATAACTCTTAAGAGCATACTTATGAGAGTTCAGTATTTATGTCACTGATATGTTCCTAGTCAGAAGACATATGAAGTATTTAAGTAATACTTAGCATATTTGTAATAAAGAGGAGAGCAGATTTTCCCCTGCACTCACTTTGGGGAAAAGTAAATAAAGAACAGAGTGTGAGGAAGAGCAAAAGCAACACTGCCGTAGTTTGTACTGCCTAAGTCGGAGACCGCAGATCCCTCCCCGAGCGGGATGCAGATGTGATCAGGCCTTGGGCACCTCCCTGCACAGGGCTGAAACCTCTCTCCCTAACCAGCTGGTGCCTGGGAAAGGCAGGAGCGCCAAGCTCATGCAGGGGAGCATTCCTCTGTCCCTCCCTGCGTGAGGTTTGCTCACAGGACTGCAGCACTGGGCCCGGGGCATTTGCTCCACACTCGAGTCTGTGTAGTTTGTGAGTCGCTTGAAAAACACATCTGCATAAGTCATGTATAACTGCTTATGACCATTGGCCTTTAGCTAATGGCACAGAAGGGACATTTCTGAATTTTTATTTCAAAGGGAAAAAAAATTGATTACAAAATGTAGATTTCTTCTATTGCCTCCCTCCCTTCCTCCCCCCTCAAAGGTAATTCACCTATAGATGTAACTAACTCCTTCCAAAACAAACATTTAGATTTTTTGATAGGAAAAAAAAAAAGGAGTTGGTTTCTCTTAGATTTTTGTGAATGCTTCCTGATGTTCTCTTTAACTAGCTCTACATTTAGAACATCAGCTAGCAATCCTTGAAGGCATTTGTAGACAGTCTTAGCAGAGGTGAAACAAACATCAATAAAAAGAGTTTTAAATCAAAACAGGTTGCCCTAAACTGAGTATTGTTTAGGGATGTACCTGGATTTTTAACCTCAGATGCTTGCTGTTGACAGCTTATCAATCCATCCAGCACACACTTTTTTTTTAAATTTCACCCCTTCTTAGAGATTTTTTTAAACTTTCATTTATTTCTTTACAAAAGAAAAAAAAAAACAAACAACCAAACAAGCAAAAAACCAAAATGCCAATTTGTTTCATTTGTTGGTCAGAACATTTCACATTGAATTTTTCCTTGGCATTGGCACTGCTCTGGAGAAAAGCACCAGTAATTTGAACTGTGTGATGTAGATTAGCTGCTTCAACTTGATGAGGCTCCAATGAAGTTATTACAAATACTTCATTTAATGGTCATGAGGAAAAATACCTGTAGTTTAAAGGATGGCCCCATTTTAGCCAGTTTCCACTGCTGCTACCACAGACATAAAATGATGCCACATAAGCAAAGTTTGGGGCCTTTTTGTCTCAAAGTTGCTTTTTAATGTCAGATAAATACACAAGAGTATATATTATTTCTGAAAATAGGTGTATTTTGAAGTTCCCCATTATATGGGACTTAGTTTTTAAACTAAAAATGTGAAGTTACATGTGTCTGAGAGAAGCCTTATACCTAGAAGTATTATCTACATTTTACCTTTTTGTATAACGTGAAATTTAGCTTATACATGGGTTACATACCATGCATGACACTCTAGTTTGGTGCGGTTTTCTTAAAAAAAAAAAAAAAAAAATTAAAAGATTAAAATCTAAGAGCTTTTGGAAATGTCAGACTTCCTAGATTAGTGGTCTTTGTCCTGAAGTCACGCAGAAAATTGTTTTTTCCTAGTATGGATCCTAAGAGTTGTCCACTAAACAGTATGACATAAATCATCAACACGTGTTTTTCAAGTTAAGTAGACTGACATCTATTTTCCACTTGCCTTTGCCAACATACTTTAAAGTGAGATGGAACTATCCCCATACAAAAATCATTCTTTAAGATATCACTCCACTCCCAACTGGGCTTCAACCCATCACTCTTTCCTATCTGCAAAACCAGTGCTGTCCATTCAGTTTGTTACATCACTCAAGTGCTCAGAGGGCTGTTTGAGATCTTAGATATAGGGATGATGGATTGTGTTTCTAGGATGAATTTCAAAGGGACAATCGTGTGCAGTTACTAGCTATAGATGATTGATATAAATGTTTACCCCTGTATGAAGTATTTTACAGTTTTACTTGCAGATGTGTATTTATCTTGAGTTATACTTGACATAGAGTTTCTTTCAATTTTTTTTTTAATACTATGTGTGTATTTTGGAAACCTTTTTAGATGTTAAAATTTTTGAATGGTTACAAATATTTCTTATAATACTGAATTGTTATCTTATCTGGAAACTCTTTGCAGTAACTTTTTTGTATATATTTGAGGGCCTTTTTAAAAAAGTATTGTTTGTTTTTTGGGCAAAGTTTTTAAAATTTGGAAGCTTTCAGAAGGGCCTTCCTCTCAACTAGGATACTAACAGAAGTAAGAGTTTTCTTAAATATTTTGCAGTATTTTGCAGAACTAAGGATGTATCCTCAAGAAAATATTTATGGAAATAATTTACTTTTTTTTTTTTACAATGCTTTTGTCTGTATAAAGTATGCAACAGAACTACATTAAGAAGGAAATATTGTCTACATAAAATATTATATGAAAGTTGGTACATAATTCTGACAAAAAAACCTTGCAATTCTTTAAGCCATATTGTTTTTGTTATCCTTGGATGAAAATATCAGTATTAAGTAACCAGTATATTATTCAAGTGCTTAGACTTATATGAAAATGCTTATACAGTTTATTTATGTGTATTTGGGGAAGGATTGCTAGAAGAGCTATCACTAGACATGTAGCAAGTGAGGAGCAAATAACAGTAAACTGTCACTTTATGGCCTTGTGAGAGACACAAAAAACACTGAAAGCACCACAGAGACACAGCTTTCAGAAACTCCGAAGCACAAGTGTTGGGTTTCAAATGGTGGTTCTTTCCTTTCCCATAACCAGAGGGGAAGAAAGTTGGTTGGGACACTGTTTAACTTGACTTTCACAACTCTTTGCAAACTGTGAGCTCAACTATGCAGTATCGGCTACAGCAATAATATCAATCAAAGGGTGTAAGAAGAGAACGATTGAAGTAGATTACTGTAGGGGTTTATGTTTATTTTAATTAGAACTCATAGCAATATAGAATATGCATGTGCACGTATTCGAAGCATTTTACACTTTACATTTCATGTAGTTTGATTATATTATGAAGGATTGAGTTTTTAGTTTGATATTTTACCATGCTAAAATGGGAGGTCTGCCCAACCCTGTACTGGATTCTTGTTTTCTTTAAAAGGTTATTTAGTACAGCACTCACTGCATTGTCTAATAGTGCTAAAACTAACACTATCTTATGAATTTCTTCAGCTTTAAAAAAATTAACCTAATGATTATTACATCTGTTTAGCTGTACCCACTGACCTTGTTAGATTCAGTTGGCAATTTGTGTAATTTCTTTTTCTGTAACTGTTAATAAACTTGTACAGCTAAAACAAACAAACAAAACCAATGGACAAAGGCCTCAGAGGTACCAGTTCTGCTTCAGCAATCAAGATGACAGCTTGCTCATCTGGTGACTGTGTTGCTAAAGAGACTGTAAAACCTCTGTTGTGGATTGTCCATAAAATGGCATTCCGACATGTGCCTTATTTGCTGGATAGTATACAGCTTTCCTCTAGTATTCTAGCATTTTAATGCTGTATTAAAGTACTGCAAAAAAACCACAAAAAAAACAGCAAGTGTGGTATGGTTTTCTTGAAAGTCTCTTCCTTCGACGTTTTACTACTGGCAGCTGCAGTGTCATGCTTGCAGTGCAAACCTGCCCCAGCATAACCATGACCCAGACCATGGGGAGAAGAGTTTCTCTACTGCAGGGAGTCCCTGTGCTGCAACAAGCCTGGTCATATCCAGGGTGAGGGCTCTTCACTGCCAGTGGGACAGCTTGGGTTAATGATGCCAGCTCTTAAGTTTTTAGCAGCCTGGTGTTGTCTAGCGTTATTCTTAAGGAAGAACCTTCTATAATCAAAGTACACCTGTAGCCTTTAGCTGGATAGGAAAGCTTAGGTGCCAGAAAGTTGCTATAATGAAAAATAACATTCATCATTCTTGGCGAACAGCACAGGTTGGCAAGAACTAGACCTGTTCAATGTTTCTTGTTTATTAGCTCTTCTCACCTCCCCAATCAGTGTCCAAGCAGTTTTTCTACTGAGACTGCCAATACTGTAGCACTTGGAAGTTAAAATAAGGTTGTCATGAAATTAACCTTGGAATTTAGGTATCCTAGCTCTAACATAAGAAATCCCCTTCATTTAAAACAAGTTGAAAATTTTTACTAGACACACCAGCACGCAGTTCTTCTGTGCCTCATATTTGCCCCCTTGAAGATCATTTACTACACCATTTGTATCACATAGCACACCTGATTTCTGGGAAGACTGGGAAGTCCTCATTCAGTCCACAGGAGAGAGCAAAAACACATCCACACGTTTGTGCATGGGTATGTGATAATGAGGGAGGAGGTGGGCAAGGAATTGTACAGTTCTGAAGCCTTGAAAACAGTGACTATTTCATCAAATAATTAAAGACATGACATGCTCAAGCTGAGCCCCATGGAAAGAGAAAGCATATATTCAGAGCTAGTTGGTAAATTTTTGTTTGAAAAACAAAATGTACTAGTTTTCCCTATAAAGTTTGTCTCTAGCACTGTTCCCATAGCATACACAAGCTACAAAGCCAAGCTCAGAACTGAAATATATCTTTCCATCAGAAGCCTTGGGGGCTCCCCAAACACCAGCACCTCAGATACAGCACTCAACTGAGAAAAGAAAAAATGCTGAGTAGAACAACTGCAAAGTCCTAGCTCCCTATTACCACATTTTCTATGATTCCTCAAAGAAATAACTTTTTCATATTTAAAACAAGAATAGATTAACACAAAAAATGTGCCTTAACAAAAATGGCCAAACTACTCTTCCCTTATTTTTCATTGCCAAGGACTTTGCCTTCCTGCTCTGTGTGAATGAGGTCAAGAGAGAGTGCAACAACCCACTTGTAATAGAAGGGCCAAATAATTCCCACTTAAGAAAAATAATAGGGCTTTCATAACAGGGATTTCACATAACATTGATACTTTGAAATAAAAAGCTGATTCATTATTCTTCACGGAAAACCAATTTAAACAGCACACTAAGGTTACCATTTTTCAAGTTGGGCATGTTACACCAAACCCCCATATCCACCAAGATATATTAGCAGGTATTATTAGTATATTAGCAGGCATACAAACTGGACCTTACATCCCAACGAGGAAGGTCAAACTGTATGCATGTTACACTTGCATAATCTCACTCAGGGCTTCCATACACCAGTTATTCACTGCCATATATCACAGACAAAATGCTAAAAAGGCTTCTCCTTTCTCCACACCCCTCTGAAAAAGTCTGTACACAAGAGACATTGGCAAGAGAAGAGGGAACCTAAAACACAAAGGGTTGAGTGATGGCAGTCAGGTCTTTCCACTAAGAACTAAAAAACCAAAAACTAAGTAAATTCTTAACTGGAAATATAAAATCCTTACTTTTGAGAAACGTGTACTATGTAGTTTGCGATCCTGAAAAAACAATGCAACATTCAGCTTTGCTTTCTCTAGTATTCACCTTCTAATGTTTGAGAAACAGATCATTTGCCAGCTTCTGTGTGGGTAACACCAGCTATCGTATCCACACCTACTCACTGAGCACTTTTGCTTCACTGAAAGTAATGCAGTTCCTCTTCCTCACCAGCTGTCTCTCAAATACACTTCAGACAGCAACCAAACCCAGAAAACTGATCACGAGACAGCCTACCAAACCTGCAAAACCTCATTCAAGTAACACAGATCACGCAGAATGTACCTCTCACAAACCTGCGACAAACTTCATGAGACATTTTTAATAACTGAACGTGCCGAGAAGGACCTACCTCAGTCAACATTTATTGTGTCTTTGTCCAAAGGGCCAAAACCAAAGTGGAGGCAGTCACATTGGTGAGGTGTTTGAGCATCCCTGATGTGCAGCCCGGGGCAGCAGAGACAGCCAACACTGCTCTGAAAGAGAAAGGAGCACCATCAGCCAGCCCTGTTTAAAGCGCTGCCCAGGCACACGGCTCTGGGGCCAATTAGACCAGAAGCAGCAGTAACTCTGGGCATTCTTTGGAGACTGCTTCTATACCATGAACTTAGCTAAACAAATATAATCACTTTTTTCCCTTTTTTTTTTTTTTTTGTAAGAGGTAAAAGTGGAGTTTGTATGCCCAGCTAACCCAACCAAATGCCATGCCAACAGGGAAAGCAAGTCATAGCCAAAAACTTCACGTGTGTTTTAAGTGGAGTAGGGTGTAAGCCAAAGATTTCCTTTTAATTGCTACTCTGGCCTTCTTTTCACCAGCTGAGTACAGAGAAAGCCAAAATACTGTAAGAAGGCTTTCTCTTACACAATTTCTGAACACATCTAAGCAGCAGTTATGGGAAATCTAATTCCAGCCAGCTTTCCACGAAGTTTCCTTACAGTTTTGCAACATAAGAAGGTACAGCTCAAAGGACTTCCAAAGAGTCAGACATACTTAAGCTCTGCTTGATTTAAGGCAGCAAAACTTGAAGGAATAATGCAGGAAAACACTGCAGAAGCAATAGGAAGCAAGACCTCAAAACTCACTGCTTGCAAACAGTGATAAACAAAGACAACTAGCATAGGAAAAAAAAAATACCATTGTTGAGTAGCATCAGGTAGAACTTCAGAGAGCTGACGCCCACAACCCCCAGAAAAGGCCCCCTTTCCCTCCACCTCACTTATACTGGCTACTTGCCCTGATTGCTGAGGGCTCCATCTGTGCTGGCCAGCTGTGTCTGGGGGTGGGGACGGGATGGAGGGAATTGGGGGGTGGGCACCAGCTCCTCCCCAGGTGCAGGGGCTTCCTGCCTGGCTGTGCCTGCTGCAGCACAAACACAGGCAGCCCCCTCCAACAGGGCTACAAGAAAAAGGAGAAAAGACATCAGTGCCACCAACAGGAATCCTCACTGGCTGCGGGGAGGGGAAGGACAGTACAAATTCACATCTAGGAGAGGCAAATAACTCTCATTTTAATGTTCACAGTAATTGAAATAGCAACACAGCTAAGTATTAAGCAGCTGTAGGAATTTCACCAAGAAATATACAAAAGTAAGCTTCACTGGACTGAAACTTGAATAACACACAATGTAATGAACCAGTTAAAACTGCTTTCCAACATATCCTACTAAAGTTTCTGAATGTCTTGGACAATTTTTGAATACACAGTAGTTGCACATAGCAACTACTACCTTGCCCAGCTACTAAGGTGTGGTTACTTCTTTGGCTATTTGGCTACCCCATGTGTTTACATTACTTTAATTAAACTTTCATTAAACCCACTCACACCAACATCTGAAGGAGTGAAACCAGCTTTATTGAGTTAGTCTTCTGTAGGGAGGTGGACATCAATTCACTGATTCAGAAATAGCAAAAGCAAAACCAAACACAAGTAGTAGCTGACAGAGTCCCTGATGTTCAGTGAAAGACACCCCATATGGTGCATACTAAGTAACAGATTTTAAATTAGCTGGTAGTAGTCAGGAATAAGTGCATGATGTTATTCTGATTTGTTCAACTTAATGTCATAATCGTTTAAAAAAAGGCAGACAAACAGAGGATTTGGAAGTAGGGACAAGAAACTAAAGAGAAAATATCGTTATATGATCCTTATCAATTTAAAAGGACAAAACAGAAGTCAAAAATTCTGGAATTATGAAAGAGAAGAAATTTTTTCCCTGTGAAAAGAGATTGTGCACTGGGCCTCCATCTTCTGGAAAAGAGATCACTGAGGGTGGATGTGATAGTGTCCTATAACATAATAAATGGCACAAATAAGGGAAGAAATATTAATTGCTTCTACAATACCTTTCTCTTAGAATAAGGGAATTTTTGATAAAATTGTCTGAGGTAACATAATCAAAACAAAAATGGCCCACAGCAGACTGAAATACATAGTCACGGGATATTCTAGCTGTCAAAAGGATAAATGAGATCAAACCCAATTGCAAAACCACATTAAAAAAAAAAAAAATTAAAAATGCTGCAGGGGTTATTAACCAGGAATCTGTGACCCTGGCTCAGGAAGTCCCAAAGCACAGAAGCAGCCAGCAGTGAGATATGATGCCAGCAAAAGGCTGACTGCCTGTGTTTCATATCTTTTCCCTCACTAAACTGCTGTAGGAAAAAAGATATTGGAGAAGGTGCTGGTCTGATTATTGTCCTGGCCCTGAGGACTACTTTTTGTGTGTCAGTAGGAGCTGCAATGTGTGAATGTAAGCTACTTCTAGCTCTCTATGTAAGGCAAAATGTGCGTGGCACCCAACAGGTACCTGGTGGCTTCCAGGACAGACTCACACAGACGTGCCCAGGGACATACTCGTTAGTTCCTCAACATTCATGCTTTGGAAGAAGACCTTATGACTCACCTGCACTCACACTTGATTGTTGGCAGGAAACTAATTGAAACTCCACCATAATCTGTAGTCTACAACTGAATATTGCACTACGGTAGCTGTTTTTTGGGGTTTTGTTTTGTTTTGTTTTTCTAAAAATTCATTGCAGAGACTTTGGTTAAAAAAGCTGGTCCTAATAAGCTGTGTTTGAAATGATTTTAAATGTATCTGTACCCTGCATTCCTATTCTCTCCA